TGACAAGATAAATATTTTAGGATAAATATAAATAGAAACAAAGATAGTATTTTTGAAACAGAGAAAGTAATATTATTTTTTATCAAAATAATGGTGACTGAATATTCATATTACATTTTTTTATTTGATTTGACAAATAAATTTATATATCAATCAAAATTAAATATTTTTAAATAATTTAGTTTTTTTTTATTTTTAAGTTCAACAGATTAGCGTATATATAAATCAAATTAATATTTTTTTTGAACAATTTTAAAGATATATCTCAGCTTGAATAATTCTCCTTGAGATTATTTATGCTATACTTTGAATCATCTATGCAAATAGCAAACGTTTGGATTTAAAAATCAAAAGATGCTAAAGAGAGAGCAGATTCATAGGAAATTGCAAGCAGGCAAGTGGGAGAAGTTGTTGACCCAAAAAGCAGGATTCGCTTTTTGAGAGAGAATCAGGAGTTTACCGATGACTGACGTGTCCGTTGACTTTGGTCTGTCCCTGTCAATATGCAGTGGTAATAAATAACGATGCATCTGTACTTTATTATTAATTTATTCTTTGCTCTTTTTCCTCAAATTATTGCCTTCATCCCTGACCTCATGCTTGCCTCTGCATTTCATCACAAGTGTTTATTACCTAATCCAGCCACATACATTTTTTTTAATCGTTAATGAAAAAGAACATAAATTAGAAGAATTAGTCTTTGAAGCCATTTATCATATACTAATAATCCATTAATTTCTTTTATATGCAAATATATGGGGTAGTTATTTACGTGAATTTTGTCTCTCCGAGTAGGAGTGCTGAGGGATGGTGATTTTTTTTTTTTTAAGAGAAAAAATTCATCTTCACAAATTAATTTATTTTTATATAATAATTTAAGTTTTCAATCTATTCTTATATTTTTAATTATATATTTTATATATCTGAATGTTTATCCATATCAACTGTGGTGCTCGGTAATTATATATATATATTTCAATTGAGGATATTTTAATTAAAAAATTTATCTATGATCAAAAAATTTAATTAAAAAGATAAATTAAAAATTTAAATATTATTCAAAATACAATATATATAATTAGAAATGTAGAAACAAATTAAAGACTCAACTTATTATATAAAAATAAACTGAGCTATTTACCTTAATAACTAAATGAAAAAAAAAATTCTGTATTTATACATGTAACGGATCATTATGTTTTTGCTAAAAAAAGCTTTTGTAAATTTTTTCTAAATAAGTCCTTGCTTACCAATTAAATATGGACGAATTGGGAAGTCCAATAATCATGTGACAACACGGAATTTTTTTTCTCATTTTTCATGAGAACATGATTTTATTTATGAGGAGGAAAAAAAATTGACGGTTGAATTGATTTATTTTTTACAATAACCTTGTTGATATAGATTTTTTATTCGTAGGACTTCAGTTAGTTGAGCTTCGATAGGGTTAGGGTAAAATCTTCCTGGTATTGAATAATTTTTTGAATACAACAAGTAGTTGGGTTTTGCCTCCGCTTTGATAGACAGGCCTGTTTCTTAAGATGAGTGGGCTGCTTCACTTACCGAATATGGGCCGATTCTAACTGTTTAATAATATGGGCTTAATAAGGTTAAACAAATGGGCTACTCGACGGCCTCAAATCTTAGGAGAGAACCATAATAGGTTTCCATCAAGCCACTTTCATATGAGTAAATTATAATTTTTTTTAAAACTAATTAATTAGTTCCTTGAATAATATTATTAATTTAATATTATTTTGATCCAAAAGAATTTTTCTTTTCTTTTCATTCATTCCAAATTTTTTATTTTTTAATATTTTTTTTAAAAAAATCAAAATAATTTAAAAATCTACCAAAAAGATTAAGTTATAAATAGATTATAAAAAAGAATAACTAATTAGTTTTTCAAACTAAAAATACTATTCAATTTATTTTGAAAAAATAGACGGACTTATGATATAACTAAAAAGACTATTTAATTTGTTTTGAAAAACTAGAAGGACTCATTTATAATTTTTTACTACATCCATACCCCTCATGAATCATGAATTTTTTTTTTTATAAGTTATAAGGAAATACCGAGGGGATTGAATCTGAAATCTCTTAGAGGGAAGAAAACATGAGTAAATTATAAATTAGTCTCTCTAGTTCTAAAAACTAATTATTTAGTATTTTTATTGTGACTAATTTAATATTTTTTATTTTATAAAATATTCTTTTTTTCAACAATCTATTCATATTTTTACTTATTATTATTATTTTTTAATTCTGTCCTTAACAGAACAACATGTTAATTGTGAGTCTATATCAATTAATAAACTAACCCAACAAGGACTAGTTCCGACAACCCAAACAAACTACTACAATCTCAGGCCTTCGTCGGTGGATCTTCCATTTGAAGAAGCAGAAAAGTATGATCCGATATCCTATACTGGAGACTCCATTGCTAACAGCTTTGTAGGACAACTTCATGAATGATGGGTTTTCTACTTGACTGATCAAGCCAAGCAAGAGATCCTCTCGACGGGCAAAGAAGTTGCAATCACTAATGCTAATGGAAAATTTGAAAGAAAAATGGAGCCAGACGTAGTCAACACCCTAATATACACAATTGTAACCCACTTTATAGGCACGAATGCTGTCCAGATTGACAAATCTCAAGAGCAACGAGTAAATTATAAATTAGTCCTCTCATTTTCTGAAACGAATTAATTAGTCTTTCTTGTTTCAAAAACTAATCATTTAGTCTACATGTTTTAAAATCTACTTATAATTTAGTCTTTTTTTGCTATTTTTTAAATTTATTTTGATTTTTTATTTTAAGAAATAAAAAAAGAAAAAATTTTGAAAAAATATGACAAGATTGATAAGAAAATAAGAAATTTTATGAAATAAAAATAATATTTAATTAAGCATGATCAACATTGATTAAATGACTAAATAATAGTTTTTGAAAGAAAATTTATTTCTTGAAACTAGAGGGACTAATTTATAACTTACTTCAGGAGCAGCTAATTAACTTAAAAGTGTCCAACTTTGTTGCACTTCCACTACTACAAAGATGATATCTTTGCTAGACCAGACAGAGTAGCTGACTACTAGAAGGAGAAGTTCACCTCTGGCCTTCGCCCTTAGTTTGCAGATAGGGTTCATAATAGAATAAAGATGCTACTGGAGGAGTCATTCGTTACTCCAACCTCACCTATGGAGAACTCATTGCTGAAGTAATCAATGAAGGGATAAACCTATGCAACGACATCAAACTAAAAAGTCAGCTTAATAAGCAAAAGAAGATCAATAAAAAAATATTGAGAAACTTCTATAAACAGATAGGTTACTCTACACCCATGATTTCTAATGATTAATCAAGCAAGAAAGATGTTTCTAATAAGAAACATCATTTTAAGAGAAAATCTTCTTATAATAAGAGTAAGGAGTTATGACAGAAACCCAGGAGCTTCTAGCTCTAAACCCAAGGATAAGAAGGTTCCAGTTTGTTACAAATGTGACGAACCGGGCATTACAAAAACAATTATCCAGTTAAAAAGAAAATAAACAACCTGGACATTGACGAAGGACTAAGGAGAAGTATTTTCCAGATCCTTCTTGAAGAGTCATAAGGATAATACTTAGGCCTTAATATCATGGAAGAAACCTTAAAAGAGGATAATTCATCCCAATCCTCTCCTAAAAATATTTATAGAAACGAAGCCATCGATAACTTTTTACTTATGTGACAAAATCATCGATGATTTGAAAATTATTTTACATGTGTTTTGTTTGTTGAAAAAAAACTATCGATGACTTCTACTTATATGACGAAATTGTTGATAGCTTCCAAATTAATTAGCTACTCATTGCACGAGCAAAATGAAGTTGTTTATAGCTTTTCACTTGTACAATAAAGCTGTTAGTAGCTTCCCAAACTCATGATCCGAAGTCAATGATAACTTTTCACTTGTGTGAGTAAAGTTGTCGATGATTTTTTTTCATGTCAATAAAGACTATCGATCTTTAAAACTCATATACTCGTTAATATAGGTCATGTTCGTTAAATATTAGTCAAAATTTCAACTTATCTCATTTTTTTCCTTTCGGTTTGGGGAGGGGGGGGGGAGGGGTTTTGGCTTTAAACCAAAGAGCTTGTAGCTCGGTAATAGTAATCTCTTACAACAAGAAATCATAGGTTCAAATCCTAATAGATTAGGATGTGTGAGTAAATATATATAAAAAAAATTGACCTTAGACCGATCCGATTCTCCAAACTACTCTATTTTATATCCCAACCCTAAAACTTTTATGCGTTTATATCTTAACAAAATAAACTTATTTAAATAGACATAAAATAATAATAATATAGTAAAAAACAAGATTTTATTTTCACATGATTTTAATGGAGGTTACCTCGGATAGGACAAGATGATGATCATATTATATCTTCTCAATATGTAACCGACCATTTACTCGGATATCTTTTCGGATCGGTATGTTTAGGCTTTCTTTGTTCTCTTCAATTAGCTAAGCGATGACTTTATGTTTATCGTGTATCACCCACCCACGGGCCTTATTGACATATACTATAGAAGAACCTTCAAAAAAAATGGTCACAAGAGGATGGTTATTCAAAAACTCCTATACTCTATTTTACAAAAGAGAGAGACACTCAAATTTTCAATATTCAACACTTAGACGATGAACTACTGACTTGAAATGCTGTTATCTAGAGGCAAGCTTACAACAAGACAAAAACAAGACTTCATAAATGGACTTTCTATAATAAAAGGCAAAAAAATAAAAATAAATAAAGCATAATACTATACAGATGGCCTGAAAACAACAAAAGCAAAAGGTAAAATAGAGCTGGTGGCCGATAGTAGTGAATGCAAGGTTCATCTCATGGCCAAAAAATCTGGAGCTGGCGAAGTGGCAGACACATTTTCAAAAGGTGTGAGATCTAATTTAGGTCGAAAGTAATTATCTAGAAGGTCCCAGATGATCACTCAGGTTTCCTGCATATCGATGTTCGTATCAATGTCTGAAAAGTCTGGATCAAGAGAATATTGAAAGAGAGACTGATTAGTCTCTTTGTCGTCCTCTAAAGCTTTTGCTAGGGATTTCTTTATGTCTTCTTTTGAAGCGGAAGACCAGAAGCCCTAAAAGGACCCATTTAATCGTTGATTTAGAAGATTCTGGAGAAGCAGGACCAGAACTGGCTTGAGAAAAAGAGGATTTTCTTTCTCCAAGATCAAACTTTGCCCACCACTTAATTAGTGATCTTCTACACAAGAAATGAGATCCGTTAAGATATCATTTCGCTCAACATCAGATTTCTTGATAGCATAATCCCGTCTAACTATCCAAGAGATTTGGAAAAATGAGACGAAGAAGATCAAATTATCAAGCTTGTTTCCAGAAGAATGCATGACTACAAAATTATTGAAGTAAGAATTAATGGAGATGGACATAGAAATAGGGAAGAGACCCCATCCAAAATATCGATCTCTGAACCAAACGAGAAGGAAACTTGTGTGAACCTAGTTGGAAATGAATGAACCAGCTGTGCTTTAGAGCTGGATTTCCATACAGAAGGATTGTTTTCCATGCTTCAATGTAATCAAAATAGGAGAAGCTTTTAGGAGAATAGGCGTAATCTTTCAGCGTCTTTTTTGAGAGAAGGTTGACACCCTAATCTGCAGGAGACAAAATTCTCTTGATTTTGAATTTAGAGTAAGCCCGCTCATTCCTATTACAAGATGTGGGAGCGAAGATGACTGAGCCAGTCTCAATAAGAATGACTTGGAAATAATAAACTTTCCTCTTGCTAAGGTTGGGAGAAAGATGCTTAATTAGCATCGCTTTAGCTACCTGATAAGGAATCATGTTAAAGATGATTATCTTCCATGGGGCATTACTAAATAACTGGCTTTGCGATGAAATGATATTTAACCTCTCTAGGATTGTGAGGAGGTAAGCTGTGCTCATAAGCCAAGCTGGACAGACAGGAGCCACCTTTGTCATTAAAAGTGGTCGAGGATGAAGATCCCTTATTTCTTTTTGGACCTTTTTGGGATCCTCATGTATTCTGGAGAGGACTGAACAACTTTCATTCTTTGATCCCTACAAAAAGGCTCCAATTAAGAAATCTAGCAGAGAATTAAGGTCTCTTTTGATGTATTCCTGCGATAAATTTCACTATTTTTTCTCTATCTCCTTGGAATTTTTGTTTAAGAATCCCACCATGACCTAACTTAGAGGCATCTGTTTTTATAACTTTAAAGGCATTGGAATCGAGAATAGCTAAGCAAGGTAGCTCCTTAGTTTTTGCTTTGATTTTTTAGACTGCTCGTGTGTGCTCATTTGTCCAGGGCATAGGATTTTTCCTAAGCCTTTGAAATAAGAGTTTACAAGCTTCTCAGAAACCTTAATTTGCAACTGCTTCTTATCTTTAGTGTCATCTGGGAACTTGTCCTTATATTGGATAGCTTTATCAATAGGGCCAACAAGACCTTTAGAGATGTTAAACCCTAAAACCTGATGTTAAGTTGGAAGAACTTCGTCTTTTTAGACGAGATGGCTAAATCTGTTCTTTCAGTAGCATCCAATAATGCCCTTATATGTTTGAAGTGCTGGTCTACTGATTCTGAAAAGACCCATAATTTATTAGTTCTTCAAACTAAAAGTCTATTCAACTCGTTTTGAAAAACTAGAGGGACTGATTATAATTTACTCCATCCATACCGATGATAACCACCCTCGTGAATCATGAACTTTTTTGTTTTTACGTTACAAGGAAATACCGAGAGGATTGAATCTGAAATCTCTTAGAGGGAAGAAAACATGAGTAAATTATAAATTGAAATGAGAGGGACTAATTTCCTTGAAATCTCTTACAAGGAAATTAGTTTCTCTTGTTTTGAGAAACAAATTAATTAATCTCCTTAGTTTCAAAAACTAATTATTTAGTGCTTTTAACTGGTGTTGACCCCACTAATTTAATATTTTTTATTTATAAAATGGCTTTTTCCCCTCATCAATCTTTTCATATTTTTACTTATTTTCTATTTTTTTCAAAACAAAAAAATAAAAATAAATTGAAAAATAGCAAAAAGAACTCAATAATTAGGTTTTGGCTAAGAGACTAATCAATTCCTTCCCAGAAGTGAGAGAGACCACTCTATAATTTACTAGAGAAAACATGGATCATCATCACCTATGGAGCAACAAGTCCAATGGTTTTGAGAAAAGAGAGGGGGCCAAGTCTAGGGTTTCAATCCTCCTTTTGTAATTTGTTGAGGGTTGCTCCTACAATATCAAAGGGTCATTATGTTATATAAAGTATAGATAAAGAAAAACAAAAGAAAGAAAAAAAAGAATGAATGGTATGGTAATTGACTTGGTAGCAACGAAACCTTTTGTTGTTTTCAATCTAGTACTTGATAGTTGATCACCCTAGTGAAGAAAATAAGCATTCAATCTTCAAAACGGGTTCTAACTAAAGTTCGCACTTTTGCAAATCACAAATACACAAAGGGTGGTAGATAGGGTTAGTGAACCAGGTTCCATGTACTTGAACAATTCAACGTAACCCGGGCTCTTGAATGAAGCAGATCCAAGTAAAAATTGTTTCAATATGTTTAGAAGAACCCAAGATGTTTTCTTCAAATTCATCTCTACAATCATTGGTTTACTGTCCATTTCATCTGAGAAACAAACAAGCATGGGGGTTAAACGAAGGAACTCTGGTTTGAATGCATGTTAACAATGAGAGGATACGAAGGCTTCCTGAATCAATAGTTATTACTACCCTAGATCTGTAAAGTTGCTTATTGCCAATAAGCTTCGAGCTCAACCAGCACTATTATCCGCCCAGCCTCTAATAGATCCCAGGTTCGAGCCTCTGTAAACAAAAACAGAAAAAGAAAAAGAAAGAGTTGCTTATCCCAAACTTTGTAAATGCAAATGCAAATTTCCTGCTATTATTTCTAGAACTTAGGAAAAGAGTTAATAGGAGGTTCCTATTACACTGAGTTAGAAGTTAAAAGCATTGAAGCTTCATTTGAAGGTGTAATAAAAACGTGCTTTCATGAAGATTAGGACCTATTGCACAGAAGGCAAAGTTGGAGAATGATCAGAATCAAATACTGACCACTCCTGGTTCGAGCCTCTGTAAACAAAAACAGAAAAAGAAAAAGAAAGAGTTGCTTATCCCAAACTTTGTAAATGCAAATGCAAATTTCCTGCTATTATTTCTAGAACTTAGGAAAAGAGTTAATAGGAGGTTCCTATTACACTGAGTTAGAAGTTAAAAGCATTGAAGCTTCATTTGAAGGTGTAATAAAAACGTGCTTTCATGAAGATTAGGACCTATTGCACAGAAGGCAAAGTTGGAGAATGATCAGAATCAAATACTGACCACTCCTGGTGATGATGTTATTTCTCTTGAGGAAACTCTAGTTAGCAACCTTTAGATCCAAACAATCTTGCAATCCTAAAAAAATCATCTCCCAAAATCCTTACAGAATATCAAACCCAATAAAAAATCATCTTGATTAATTTGGTATGTCAAGCATGGGGAAAACCAACCTTCAGGGCAAGTTCTATTTTGGGAGAATCTCTTTGTGAGCTTTGAATGAGAGAATCACATTCCAGACTAAAGCAATAACATTAGCAGCAAGAACCTGAAATTGGTTTTTTATAATGAATATTAGCACAAAAACAGTATAGTAGCCAAAACAACTAGCAAAAGTTAAGATGGATACGACTTAAATAATATAGCAAAACGTAACACTGACTTGACTCTATATTAACATCCCTGGAGGTGAATGGTAATGAACCTAAATATGGTCAGCACTCAGCTAGCACATACTATGCAGATAAAGGTAGGGACCACTCCGCCACTTTACCATCACATAATTCAATTTGGCCGCAATTTTAGCTCATTTCTGGCATTATTAGATGTCAGAAGCAAGTAGGGAAGGCAAAGACGGTCCTCTTGTGCTTCTTCAAAGTTTTTTTCTTTTTTCCTCTTTTTTTTTTCTTTTTTTTTCTTTCTTTTTTTTTTTTTTTTTGAAATAACACTTTCAAAGTTATCTAACCATGTAAGACATATAACATGCTAACAAACAAAAATGCACTGACACACGATGCTCATTCTAACCTGAAATTGCTGTGGGACAAAACGAAAGTTCAGAAATTGAAATGGTATCCACAATTGCCAATTTACAAGAACAGAAGAAAACCACTCCTGCAGAAAAGAATATCAAGAAAGGTCAATGCTGAATAATTATTCCAGCTGGCTGTGTTCAATGGTATATAGACATAGAAGCCACGGAAGGAACAGAGAGGGATGCCTCTTAAGTCTTTAATACAACCTGCTGAAGCTTAGGTATGACTTGTGATGGCCTTCCCTCTAATGTCACCAACGTTGACAAGAAAACTCCGATGAATATAGGAGCAAAAACAAACTGCAATTATTTTAGAACACATAGAACAAATTTAGCTCAATAGCATGAATGAGTAGTCATGAAAATTGTGAAGACCAACTATGAAAAATAGATGTCACCTGATCAACTAAAAGGCGCAATAATGCACCTGGTGCTCCAGGCATTGGTACCAATTTACTCAAATATAAGTACCTATCAAGTTGAGTAATGAAAAATTAGCAGGATCTTGTAAAAGCAGAGCTATTTTAATTTTTTTTTCTTAGCAAATTCTGATTGGCAAGATAAGCTTGTGCATTGGGGTAAAGCTGATACCAAAACAATTCGGTGGTTGCTAAGAAACCATTAATCAATGCAGCATTAGTATTTAGTAACACAGATTGGATCATCGAAACTCCTGGCAAACAAAAATATGGAATCACTTTTGAAAGGTAGAACAACTTCCACTGCAAATATTGAGGCATAAATTTTTTAGGGTTGTTATTTTCACGAATAGCTCTTACATGTGTCAATTTAAATTCCAATCTTCCACCGACCTTATTCTTAAAAAAAAAAAAAAAAAGGAGGATATGAAAAGTCTGAAGGATTACCAGAAATGCAATGTGGGACCCACCAGCACCAGCCCCAAGAGAGTAAATAAGAAAGTTCTTTTCAGGTCTAGGGATGGAACTTGATCAATCATAAGCTGACGCATAAAAAGCCAAGATTTAGAAAAGTTGTGATTAAAATGGTCTCATAACAATAATATGTAATGAAAATAGCTTAAGAACTACAACTGAACACTGCAAGAAGTTCTTAGAAGATGCCATAGTGTAAACAGGACACACATATATGGGAGAACATATAAATGCCAAAGTGGGCTCAGTGGTTCCTAATTCAAGGGGACACCAATGGCAGTAAACTTGAGTTTGAATGCTCTGCAGTGCATAAAAATGGTGGGCTGGAAATTAGTTTCTCAAAGACTGCTGACACCTTGTTTGGAAAAATGAAGAAAAATTATCATTTAAAAACCATTTAAACACACACACAAAAAAAAAAAAAAAAAAAAAAGAGTTGCTTATAAAGTTTATTGATCAATATTTAGACCAACAGTTTCAGTTCACGATGAATCCACTGGTTGCCATATAAAGCAAAAACCACTCATTCTGTGTAAAATACGAATGACAATTAATACAATGCACAAACACTCATGACACATATGAGCAGAAAAAATCTAAAATAAGTAAAATGTGAAAGAGAGACATTTTGCTACCTCTATTGCCATAACATGTAAAATTTACCTGGCAGATCAAATCCCCCATAAGAGTCAATGTTGCAGAAGTAACAGCTTTAGTCAACACAGGGTATTTGGCTAGAAGATTCAAATACCTGCAATAACATAGAACTCATTTTGGGTTAAAAGTGATCGTATTTCTAATCTAGATTACTAACGAAGAAGTAGAAGGATAACGAGAGATTACAACACAAAAAGTGGAAAAGAAAAAGAAGATTCAATGCATACAAAGATGACAAATAGGGTACAATATGTACATCCAATACAAAAAGATGCCATACTTCCAGATAGTTCCACTTTAGGAGATTAGAAAGATCAGATTAAACATTTTTATTGCCTTTCCAAGGACTTACGAGAAATTTGAGACAGGAATTTAAAATTCATACTTGACAACAAAATAGAATTTTACTAATTATCGAACCCCAATGAGAAAAAAGGAAGCTTGCTAAGCAACATGAACAAAAAAGAACTAAAATCAGCAACGACTTGAAAAATGAACAGATTAGCAAAACTCACAATTCATTATTACCATGAAAGGAAGGACCAGTTACTATTTCCATCAGAACCAGAACCAGAACCGCCACTAGCACCAGCACCACCTCCTCCACCACCAGAAGAGCCTCCAATCCCACCAGAGCCACCATCAGAAACAGCCAAGACACGAAATTGATCAAAACCCAATTGCTTATATCCCGTTTTAGAACCACCCAAGTCCTTCAAAATAGTTCCATGACTATAAGTTAAAGAATTTGAAAACAAAGTAGAAGAAGAACAGGCCCTGAATCCAGTTATCTGAACAGGGTTCAATGAAAGCTGAGTTATTTGGTTAAAATGAGAAGTGGGTTTGCTTGAAAACCCCACCAAACGGTATAGGAGTGGGGTCTTGCGCGTGAGAGAGACTACTGGGTTTGGCACCATTTTTGCTACAAATGAAAAGATTGGCTCTTTGAGGGTTTAAAGGTGGGGTTTTTGGTGACTAGAGGTTTAGAGTTTAGAAAGTGGAGAAGGATTTGGCGAAAAAAGGTTTTGGCTTTTGGCTGTAGAAGTGATAGTGGGACACACTCGTTGCCGCTTCAACTGTTTCTTGTCTCTGCTTTTGTTTGTTTGTTTGTTTTGTTAACCTAGTGGAATTGAAACGGTTAAAGACAGTCACTTTGTTCTTTTTCAGAACAGTAGGAAATTCCATTAGAAAGGCCAGAAGGTTCAAAGTTACGTTAAATATGGGCTATTCAAATTAGAAGCCCATTATATAAAAGAGCGGTTTGCCATGACATAAGGGCTAACAGAGGGAAGAAGAAACTAAAATTTTTCATTGATCAGGTCTTAGATAAGCAATCTATATCCAGATTTTTTTTTTATTCGCAAAAAAATTCTTTGTCACAGACCTGCTTGGACTCAAACTTCAAATGATAAACGCGGGAAAGTAAACCCAAAAACCAGCCAAGTCTCTAGGGTCTGAATGCCTGGGGAAGGCTCAATGGAAAAATAGAACAGCTAGAAAGCCAAATAATGCAGCATTACATTCTCATTACATAAAGCAACAAAGTTCACATTTTTGAGCAGCAAATTTAACTTGCACCCAAAAAATGGAAAAGCAGTGTAAGTAGTACAAGATGATGTATCTTATGGGCTTCGCCTTGCAGGGTCTCTCAAGAATTCCACTTTGATCTTTTTAAGGCTTGCCAGGATTTCAACCATGTTAATTCTCTCTTCAGGAGATTCATTAGTACATTGCAGAGCCAACTCTATTATAGATGTCACACAATGCTCCTTATTTACTGAGTAGCCATCTCTTCTATTCAGCATATTACTGTCCACAATGTCAATTACTGAATCAGGCAACGATTCTTTGACCAATTTCATCAGTAGGCTTTTTTCGTGTCAGCAGTTCCATCAACATGATTCCAAAACTGTAGACATCAATCTTGGTGGACACAAGTCCATCCAGTCCATATTCTGCACAGGAAATGAAAGTCATAGGATGTGATTTGCCAAATATTTAAGCGAGCAATGCAAATATTCAATTTAAGGGAGACTACAGATTACCTGGTGCCATATACCCTATCGTCGCAAGGGTCTTGGTTTGTGCAACGGATTCACTTTCACCTAAGAGTTTTGCAATGCCGAAATCACACACATGTGCAACCATGTCTTCATCTAGTAACACGTTGCTCGGCTTCAGATCACAATGCACCACAGGAGTTGAATAACCATGATGGAGATACTCTAATGCAGATGCAACATCTATCATAATGTTCACCCTTTGAACGATATCTAAGCAATAGTTGTAAGAGTATAACCATTTCTCCAAGCTTCCTTTAGGCATGTACTCCAAGACCAAGGCTTTAAAGTCAAGATTAGAGCAGCTGCAGATAATCCTCACAAGGTTGCGGTGTCTAATGTTGCGCACGATTTCGCACTCTGTGTCAAAACTTCTGAATCCTCCTTGTGATTGCATATTAAAAATCTTCACAGCTACATTGAGCCCATCAGGAAGGACCCCTTGATACACGGAGCCATAACTTCCAACACCCAGCAGATTACTCTCATGAAACTCATTTGTTGCACGCAGAAGTTCAAGGTGGGAAATTCTTCTCTGGATTGCTGTCAATCGCAAGGCTTCCGGAATAGGAATTTTTCTGCTCCTTCGTCGACATCCTATAAGAAGAAAAATGAAAGCCACTACGAGCAGAAGCGATGCCACAGCCACTAAACTGAACCTTAAAACTCTGGATTTAGTCTTTGAAGGCTTATGAGATTCACTGCTGCATGGTGGGACTTGCAGCCGAGAAGGGCCGCAAAGAGCCTTATTCATCATAAAAGAATGAACAGTGAAGTTTGCAAATGGTCCTCCACCTGGAATTTCTCCTTGTAGTCCATTGAAAGACACATTCAAATACTTCAAATATCTAAGTTTCTCTAATGACTTGGGGATTGCTCCAGACAAGTTATTTTCAGACAAATCTAAGAATTCCAGGGTTACCAAATCACCAAATAATTCTGGAATGGACCCTTGAAAACTGTTGTTAGCTAATGAGATATCTATCAAGTTCTGAAGTGAGCCTATTGTACTCGGAATATTACCATACAATTGATTCCTCGACAAAGTAATTGATATCACAGCCTTCATTCCTCGAACTTCCAAGGGAAGAGATCCTTTCAGAGAATTTGAATCCAAATCCAAAACCAAGAGATCCTTGAGGCTCCATAATGCCAAAGGAATGGAAGATGTTAATGCATTGGAAGAAAGATAAACTTCTCGTAAAGAAGTAAGATTCCCAATGCAATTAGGTATCATTCCAGAGAACTTATTTTCATCGAAGTAAAATAAAGCCAAGCTCCTTGCAAGACATATATCGGAAGGAATGGAACCACTGAGCATGTTCTCATAAAGAGCCATTAGTTGTATCTTCCTTAGCCCTCCCACTGTTGTAGGACAGGATCCAGTCAAATTATTTGTATTCAAGTCTAAGCCAATAAGGTTACTCAAGTTGCCAATCGCACTCGGAATATTGCCTTTGATTTTGCAGGAGTATGCATAAAAGGTTGTTAGAAAGGATGAGAGATTCCCTATAGAATTTGGAAGCATGCCATTTAAAGGGTTGTCTGAAATCCACAATGATTCTAACTCCTTACAGTTTGTCAAAGAAGTGATAAAGTTAAGTTCCTGACTGGAGGGGTCATTGGTGAAGGAATTGGATTGCAAACGGAGGTCTTGCAGCGCTCTCAAATTTCCAAGTTCTTGCAAAATATGACCAGCAATCCGGTTATATGACAAGTCAAGCGCTTCTAACCTGGATATGTTACCAAGAGAGCGTGGCAGTGACCCTGATAACATATTGCCACCAACATACAATTAATAGTCCATTACAGATAGTCTGAATTGTAGTCAAGATAATCCTGACATAAAGAAGAGATGTTGAACATAGCGTATGGAATGTGACCTGTTATACATAGCGTATGGAATGTGACCTGTTATACTGTTATCTTGCAATTGCAGTTCCTTCAAGTTGGGAAGGTTGCCTATCTGTTGAGGTAATCCTGCCAAAAAAACGCAAGGCACATTATCTTTGGGAGATGGATGATGATTTTTGGTAAAGGAGTTAGTATTTTTAATTTTTATCAAGTGGGAAGACGATTTAGAATTCCTATATAACATTTTGACGACTATGTTTCACAAAGTCTTCGCAACTTTTAATGAATAGTTTGGTGATCGTTGCAATAAGATGAAGAAGAGAGAAGAAGAACACCTATATTCTGTGAGGTTCATTCACTTATTCTTTTTACTTGTATGACTTGTGTTCTACTCCTTTTTAGAAATGTCTTTAACTACGTTAATGAAAATAATATACAGGGTTCAAGATATGAAGATGGAAAAAACAAAGAATTACCTGACAGGTTATTGAAAGAAAGATCAATGTCACTAATAGAAGTCATGTTGAAGATTGATCGAGGCAAATCACCTGCACAATTTTGTTGCATTCAATAACATAAGATGATAATAAAAGAATAGGTTAGTAAAGAAAGGCTTGCAAAGATAGTCTGGCTATGTGCAAAGGTATAAGACTACAAACCTGACAGGAAATTTGCTCCAATGTATAAAACCTCAAGCTTGGGGAGGTATCCAATCTCTTCCGGTATCGATCCAACCATACTGTTATAGGATAATGATATTGATTTTAATTCCCTACATTTAGATAATTCGGATGGAATTTGTCCCGAGAGCTTATTAGAGGAAAGCCAAAGAAATGCTAGTTCAGGAAGATGGTCGCAGATGTTCTTTGGGAGACTTCCAAATATGTAGGTAAACTGGAGACCAATGCCTTGCAAGGAAGAGATGTTGAAGATTGTAGGTGGAATTGTACCTGAAACACACACATACCCATATGTATAATATTAAAAAACTTCAAATGGTACATCTTAGCCGTATATTCTTTGCCCGAAATTAAGTTAATGAAGATGAGCACACATATGGTACCTGTCAGACTATTTGTTTCGAATAGTAAAGATTGAAGTTTGTGCAAATTCCCAAAACTTACTGGGATCACTCCTGACAAATTATTTTTGCTCATATCCATCGCTTTTAACCGGCGTAAATTTCCTATGTTGCTGGGCAGATGCCCATGGAAGCTATTGTTGTAGAGATTCAGAAACTGAAGGAAGGACAAGTTTCCAAGTTGTGGTGGAATGGTGCCTGTAAGATCCATGCTATTTAGACTCAATCCGATGACTCATTCCCTGCGAAAGCTGCACGAGATGCCCATCCAATTGCAGAAGGAGGTATTGGAGGACCAGTTGTGAGCTAAGATGTTTTGAGGATCAAAAGTAACGTGAGACTTGAAGGCAAGAAGAGCAGATTCATCAGTGAAGTTTATTTTGGTAAAGCCACTGCATTTCTTTGGCAGAAACATTAGCAGCACTGTAACAAGAATGCTAACACAAACACTCCCCATAATTATGAGTAGAGAGGAAATTAAAATCAAAACGAAGAACAGGATAAAGCTTTATAAGCTGATTAGAGAAGAGATAAACGTCCCTTGAATAAAGACCAAGTAACTTTTTTCATACAATGAAATGAAAAGAAATCCGTCTGTGGAAGTATGTACTCCAGCTGTTCATTGCTTTTATATATTATGCTTTATGTTTGTGGAATTTCAAAATGCCGTGAAGGAACAAGAGTCTCACTAAGTCCTTATACTATATATTTATACCATATCTGATAGTTGATTGAATAATTTCGAGTATGAGTATGTGAAGTATTTATACACCTCACATTGTTCATCCAACCGAACCATAACAGGTGAATCCATGAGACGAAATTAAAGGTATTAATGGCTCTTTTATAAGCTTATTCTGCAGGATTGGATCCCAGTATCTCTTCCCTGCTGTGCCTACGCAAATTATGACACTGTTCCTGAAACAATTAATGCTTTGTATTAGAAAATATTGAATGACTGATTTATGTTTATGCCTAAACACATGTATTTCCCCAATACTTCAGATTAGAAAATCAAGTTTTGCGATGAAAAGTTATCAGGAATCCACAGAAGCAGAGGAATTTTCTTTCTTTCTTTCTTTTTTTCTTTTTAATAGAAAATTGTAGTTGACAAGGTTAACATATGCATTGGAGTACAGCTGGTACCAAAACAGGCAGTAACTAAGAGACCATGAACGAATGCAGCATAAGTAATTAGTAACAGAGGTTGGGATCATCCACAGGCCAACAAAAGTATGGAGTCAATTCTGAAGGGTAGAACTTCGGACTAAACATTGAGGCAAAAAAAAAAAAAAACACTTTGAGGTCTTAAACTTGACTCTCCCATTGATCTTTTCCCTTTTTTCTTTTTTCCTTTTCTTTTCCACAGAGGAATTACACATTCCAGTGTACTTGAGGTGACCCTTTCCACTCGTGTATTAAATAAACCATGTAATTATCAACAGAAATGCAATGAGGCATCAATCAGCCCCAGCCCCAGGTGAGTAAATATGAAAGTTCTTTTCAGGTGAGTAAATATGAATCTTCTTTTCAGGTCTAGGGGTTAGACTTGAATAATCACAAAAAAAAAAGCCAAGATTTAGAGAAGTTAAGGTGAAAATGGTCCCATAACGAGAATATATGAATAAATAATAACTTAATTATTACAATTGAACACCACTACAAGTTCCTAGAAGTGATCTGGCAGAGTATAAGAAAAATGCAAAAGACAGACATTTTGCTAATAACACCTATTGGCAGAACCTGTAGATTTTACCTGGCAGATCAAATCCCCCATAAGGGTCAACAGTGCAGATGTAACCCAGGTTACTTGGCTAGAAGATTCAAGCATCGGTAATAAAATAGAATTCAAAGGAGATAACAATGATCATGTTTCTAATCTCAATGATTACCAAAGAATTATAATGAGAGATTACAACACAAAAAGAAGAAGAAAAGATTCAATACCAACAGATATGACAAATAGGGTATAATGAGTACATTCAATACAGAAAGGTTGAATGGTACCAAAGCGTTACACAGAGTTAAGAAATTAATTAATTAATAAATATACTAAAATAAAATAGGGTTTAACCGAAGCTAACCTCTTTCTTTTTTGCTTTTGGAGAATTTTTTTGTTTGTTCTGATATCTATTCTGTGATCTTGTTTTTATTTTGATAATTGGAATTTTGGTCAGGCCATTTTTGGCTCTAAATATTACGAAGTTTTTTTTTTTCATTTTTCATTTTAGTCCTTATATTATATTTTTATTTTGATCTTTTAAAATTTAAAATTATTGTTATTATACTCATTTTATTGTTGTATTTTATTTTTTCTTAAAATATTTTATTGAAATATTAAAAATAGGCTCTTTGATTTGATTTTAATACATTATTGGAGTAAATTAGTATGTCTGTTTATTTAAATAATTTTTTTTTTGTATTGCAAATAAATAATCTGATTTTTTTTGGGGAGAAATTAGTTATTTTTAGAAGTGTATAAGTGAAAACATCAAATATGAATATGAAAGAATGACAAAACTAAAGACCCAAAAAGACTAAATAGAAATAGTATAATCTCCAAAATTTTACTGTTTCTAAGGCCTTTTTGGCTTTTAACTAAAAATTTCCTTTTGCTTTGGTCTATGTTATGTAGCCCTTATTTTGTTTTGATCATTGAAATTTTATTATGTATGATTTTTGCTGTACATTATACATAATGAGTTTTTTAGTTTTATTGTTCCTACATCTTTTTTTGGCTTTTAGTCGAATTTTCTTTCTATTTTGATTTGTGTTCTGTGATTTTTATTTTATTTTGATTATTGAATTTTTATCATTTTGCATATATATACAATCTCTATTATTTTGTGTTCCATCAAGCTAAAACGAGCTTTTCAAGTCCATCCTCTTATCTAACAAGTTTGATCATGTCAATACAAACAAACTATATGTAGATAAAAAAAACAAATGGTAAAAACTATAACCATCCAAGATTCATGAAGTCTGTCATATTATTATTTTAATTGTCACTTGTTATATATATTTCTAATAAAATATCCGATTGTATCGAGCAATATTTAATTAGCAATATTATTTTGCTCAACTTTGCGAGTTTTTCCTTTAATTTTTTTTTTGAAATTTTTTTTACGAGTCTTTTTAAATAATTTTTTTTTGCATACATAAGATCTTTTATTGAAGTAATAGTTTGATATGTTTTTCTTATGATTGTTTGATAAAAAGTCAATTCAAGACTCTTTATTTTTCATTTCTATAAAAGAGATTTATCTAAAAGATTTGAAATAATTCATTTCTATACTTGTTTTAAATTTTCTTATTAACATTATTACATGGATTGTTAGAACTCTTTATTTTATATGGTTGATCACATGAGAAAAATGTAACTCACCCCGTGATAATGCAAGAGATGCAATGCAAGTATTAAATTAAACATTGTTATTGCATTCAAAAGCACTTAAGAGAAATCTAAAACCAGGAAATGGGGAATTTAGAATGGCATTGGTTCTTATATCAAAGAATAGGTTTAGGTTGTTTTTAGTGAATATTTTCATTAGTATCATTCCAAAGCTGTGGACTTCAATTTTTCTAGACACAAAAGTCCATCCCACTCCATGCTTTGCACATGGTAACCTCAATATGAAAATTAATGAGGTTGTGATCATCGGATTGTTTGAACGGTTAGATATTGTTTTTCTTTGGTTGATTATAAAGTGTAGATTTGTCACTCTTGGAGTCCTATGGCGTATACCTGCAAAAAAAAGTCTTTCTCCGATGTTTGGAGAAGTGTTTGACTCGATTAGATATAATGGTATATCTTTTGACAAGTTTGGCCTAATTAAGTTTAGGCGTGTATTTGGTTATATTTGAAAAAGGTATACAATATTATTTTATCAACAATATGGAGAGTGTAGAAAGCAGAACCTAACTCCTTTTGACAAATGTAATATTAACCTTTTATATAGTGACGAGAATACTCAACTTGCATGGAGTGGAGGGCATGTTCGTTTTTTTTTTTTTTTTTTTTTTTTTTTTTTTTTTTTATTGAAGGCAAAAAGGTCTTTCTCTTTATGGTGCAATGACATCCGACTAGAGTATTTGCAAGTTGAGGATCCTCTTAAATGAATATCCTATAGGTATTAGTGCAAGTACCATTATTTCGGAGGTTGGTGCGTGGGGTGGTGTCTTTTATTTAATATTTATCCATAGTGTTTTTTCTAGTAGGAGAGTGACCTAAACCCGAAGACCGATGGCTAGTTTAGCGAGATAGTTATTCCTAGTTATGGGGATTTCTTTGGTACACAAATTCTATTGAGGAATATTTGGAGCGAGTGGATCCTTTATTCACGGTTAGGTTATTGTGTAGGGTTGTGTTTTTATTTTCATAAAAACAAAATAAACTAATTTTTTTTTGTTCACTTGTGCACTAATTTAATTTGATGAAACAATACTACGAGTATCTATCTAGTGATTGATAAATAAAACTAAATGAAAGGCTTTTTTGGTACCCTACCATTGATTTCTACTCGATTTGCTACTCAAATTTTGATTTTTTTATTTGTTTTGGTGCTCGACTTCACTTGAGATTTAATTTTACCGACTCGTTCGGTGAGATTCGCCACGGGTAGTAAAAAAAGCACCACGTGATAGTCAATTGTAGACACGTCAATATCTTATGTTCTAAGGTGGTTGTGGGCACTCAAATAAAAAAAAATAATCAAAAAGTTAGGCATTGAAATAGAAAAAAAAAAAAAAATAAAGGTTGGGCACAAAAAAAAAAAAAAAGTTTTTTCAAGAAATTTATTGTCTTAAGATTGCAAAATAGGTCCAACAATTTCTAATAAATATTTTTCATATAAAACTCGTAGTGTCTTTTTAATTATCAAAGGAAATTTTTTAATACTCGGTTAAAAATTGTTTTTGAAAAATTCTAAACCCCTTTAGTCGTTTACACAAATTTAATATCATGTCCTTTAGTCCAAGTTTATATAAAGTTCGAGTTAAGAGTAAATTTAGAAAAAAAAAAGACATATAAGATCCAATTATGATTGTCATCTACACAAATGGTTGGTCAATAGAGAAATTTATTAAAAATAACAAAAAGAAAAACCGCTTCTTCTTTCTAAGAAGAAGATCGACCAACATACAATGAGTGATCTAAGCTTTTTATGGTCAATAACTTGTTAAAATTTTGATAATAGGATGAGATGAGATATA